GGGGGGGGATCGAAGAGGCTTTGGGACAGTGCCAAAAAGCTAATTAAAAGGACACTGGCACGGAATGTGCAAGGGGAAGGATTGCAACCTGTTTCCTCCCCATAGCTGGGCTCCCCTCCCCGGGGCAGGGCTGGTGGTCAGCACCCACCGGCTCCGTCAAGGCTGGTTTGGCTTCTTACGGCATGGGTGAGATGCAGCTCCCCCCGCCAAAAAAAGGGTGTGACATCATCCGGGGTCTGTCCCCTCAGGCCCTCGAAGGACGCTGTCACTGCTTCTCCTGCCACAAAGAGCCCGGAATAGCCAACATCCCCCTGCTCCATTCTGCGGAGAGGAAATTCGGGCGCCCTGTTTGTGTCCGCTCACCCCCAGCCTCCCAGGTCCTCGCAATTAACGGTGTTGCTTTTAATTAAATGATTTGTCTAATTGGCTCGGCGTAAGCAAACGCGTTGTGTAAATAACACTGGTGCTGTGAGTGGCGTCGGTGGGCGATGCCACGCATGTGCCCAGAGGACACGGCTGGGTCTGCAGCGCTGCACCACCACCCCCCGACCCCAAATCACCCACAGCCGTGCTGGGGGGGCTGGAGACCCCCAAAAGCAGCAGAGCGGACCTCAGCTCCCCATCACCCAGGCCCTGATGGAGTCAGCGCCCATCACGGCTGACACAAAGCAAGAGGCTGCTCAAGGCTCCTCGGGTCGGACCCCGCAAAGCCATGGCGGGCGGGCGCTTGGCTTCATCCCACCCGTGAGTGGCGGCGGGAAGGGAAAAAGCTCTGGAAGCGGAGCTGCCTGCCCTGGGGTGTGATGGTCTCCAGGAAGGCTGCGAGTCGGGGCCAAACGAGGTGAAAAACACCATCAGGGGGGTTTTGGGGGGGTGAGGGGGAGCAGCTGGCCAAGCTAGGGGGAGAGCAAAGCCTTGTCCTCGGCAGCGTCTCCCTCCCTCGATGGGTTGGGTTTTGTTTTTTTTCTCCCCTGGAACTCTTCTTAATTCCTAACTTAATTTCTTTTGACATCCTCATTGCCGGCTTGACCTCTTTACTGGAATCATGTGCTGCTTAAAACTCATTATCCCACCATTGAAACAGGAAGTTAATTAAAAACCCTTTAAAAAAAAAAAAAAAAAGAAAAAGAGAGAGGGGGAAAAGAATAAAGCACACCTCATGTCCAGGGATAGATAGAGAGGGGACACGGCCAAGCTGCCGTGCCG